CGATGCCGGTGCAGACAGATCAGCACTCACGCGGAAGTGGTCAGATGGACGAGGAGAATATTGTCATCCAGCATGGCAGCCCACAGTCCGTTCGAAGCTCAATCTCACATGGTGCTTCTTCGCATTCGCCCTTCTCGGCTGCAGTTTCTCCAACCTCACCTGCGCAGTCAGTGTGCATGCCAACTGTACCTCCGACAGGGGCGATTGGACTGGAAGATCTCGACGCTGCGTCTCTAGTGCCCATGGGCTATTCTCACCCTCCTAGAAGCAACAGCCAGGGCTCAATCAAAGATGTATTGCCGCGTAGTCTGTCAATGCTACCTGGGTACAGTCCGGAGTCCTATCAGTTATTGAGTCATTACTTGGCCACCACTGCCGACTGCATGGCTAATGGATCGACTCCGGTGAACCCGTTTCTGGTCCAAATCGTTCCACTGGCGTTCACAAGTGACCTTCTGCTACAGCTGGTTCTGACGCAGAGTGCGGCTCACCGAGCATTTCGTTGCCGCAATGACTCGGATGAGGTGGCCCAGAGTCACTATACCAAAGCGCTCCAGCTGTTTCGCAAGGGTGTTACGGATTTTATTGATGGGAAGGAGTCGAATCCGCTTATGCTTACAGTTGGAGCTTTGTTGATGTGTTTCACCGAGGTGGGTTTTCATGAACGGTACGGAGGAAAATGACTGACGAGCTTAGACCGCCAGAGGAGACATGAATGGGACTATCTTTGACCACCTGTCGGCCGCGAATACATTGCTTATCCGCCTGCTTGCCCAGAGCGACACTGCGGTCCCGAAAGACCTCAAAAACTTTGTCATTGAGTACTATACGTACACTGCGACAGTGAGCATGATATCAATCGACGCGCGGGTCAGCCGTCAGCTCTTCCTGAACTTTGACCTAGAGCAGCGAGCGCGTCAGCTGTTAGAATCGGAATACATCGGTAATCTCTGCGGCTGCTGGCTTGAGCTGCTACTGATGATCCCGTGTATTTTTGACTTGGGACGGCAATGGATGATGGAAGATGGCCAGCCGGGTCTTCCGACTGCGGACGACATTGCCATGTTTGGCTCATTGCAAGCTCAAATCTTACGCTGGGCGCCTTATCCTTCGGTAACTCCCGAGGTATTCCTGGCAGGACGGATCTTCCAGCAAGCGATGCTGCTCTATCTATATACCTCGCTGAGTGCATTCTCACGGGCCGAGCAGGGAATATATCAAGGCCTTATTGATGCTGCAATCACAGACGCGATGTCTTACCTGCATCAACTTTCAGCTACTGCCCGTATCAACTCAGGACTCTGCTGGCCTATTGCTGTTGTGGGGTCATGTCTGTCTGACATGGACCAACAGAATTCTTTACGACAGCGCCTACACACCATGGTAAACACCTTTGGCCTCGGGAATATGCAACGGACGCTACTTTTGCTAGCACATATGTGGCAGGTGCCTCTGGAGCATGCCGGACCGTGGAATATCTGTCGGGCGATGCAGCAGCATCAAATCTGGATCTCGTTTGCGTAACGGGTAGCACGATATATTTTCAATTTGGCTAATCTACAGTCATCATTCATTGCATCAGCCGCCAATACAATCGGCAGATCCTGCATCCCTGCTTACGAGCCAAGGTTCTTAGGCGCTTCAGTGGCAGGACCCTCCGGAGTCACATAAGCCTTGGTTAAACCGCCGTCCACCACAAAGTCTGCGGCATTGACGAAGCTGCTTTCGTCGCTGGCCAGGAAGATGACAGCATGAGCCTGCTCGATCGCCTCACCGAACCGGCCGGTGGGAAAATGGACCTCACGCCTGAATCGCTTCTCCTTGTCGTCTCCAAGCCAATCCTGCAGAAGCGGGGTGCTGATGTCGTTAGCTTTTACCCACGATCAGGGGAACTGAATGACATACTTGAGAGGGGCCGGGCACAGCGAGTTAAAACGGAATCCCTCACGAGCGTGGACAATGGCCAGTTCACGCGTCATGGCCAGAACAGCACCCTTGCTGGCGGTGTACGCAAGCTGAGGCGTAGCCGCGCCAACCAGGGCAACCATACTAGCTGTGTTGATGATACTGCCCTTCTTCTTGCCGTGTCTGCGCAAGCTCTTGACCGCGTGTTTCGACCCGTACCACACCCCCTTGACATTGATATTCATCGTCAAATCCCAGATATCCTCCGGTGTCTCCTCCGAATCTCCATCCTTGGGATGCATGATCCCCGCGTTGTTGAACATGACATCCAGACCGCCCCAGGTATCGAGATGTGCCACCGCAGCTTCTACCTCGGACTCCTTGGATACGTCGACGACGCGGTATTCCACCCGGCCGTCGTGCTGTGGCACCACCTCGTGAACCTTGGCAATGGCCCTTTCGAGGCCTGCCGCAGAGATATCGGTCATAAGGACGGAGGCGCCCTCGCGGAGCATGAGGATCGTAGTTTCAAGCCCGATACCACTATCCATGTCAGCCGTCCTCTTCCTCCTTGATCTAGAAAGCAAAGATAAGGAACATGATGAACATACCCGGCGGCGCCGGTCACGACGGCGTTCTTTCCAGCGAGTCTTCCAACCATTGTATCTGATCAATAGCGTTTGTATAAATCAAGCACTCGATCTCAATCACTTGTCTAGTATAATCACAATCACAAACCAACCTGGATCCTACCACCTTTATACCCAATCTATCCAGCCGAGGTCGGTTCCGCCAGTCCCACATAGCTGCGCGGTGAGTTTATCCCTCCACTATTGTTAAAGGCTCTTCAGCTCTTGCTCTCGTTTCCATTACACGAGCGAGTGAGGCACGTGGAGTCGCCCTGACGATAAGCGAGCGCTGTCGGGTCACGCGCGCAGGTGATATGGTATTGATAAGGATAGTGGGGACCCGCGGCGCGGTAAAGGACCGCGGTTTGCGGTGGGGTAGTTCGCGCGGTTATTTTTGTAGATATGGACAGAGGGTGTAGCAATATGATGATGATTGCAACAAGTTACAATGTATAGTTGATGGCTTAGAGTCCACTACATTGAAGCAAGACGGACGGTGTGCTGATATACATTGGTAGATGAGCAAATTGAGATCGAAGCTGACGTTCAGTATACATTCTGACAATTAACTACTTAGGCTAAGCCTGCTCCTCCTTAATATGATAGCTCTTTAATTTATAGAACCCATCAAAAGCATGCGGCCCCAGCGTACATCCCAGCCCAGAGTTCTTCCACCCAACCCACGCAAGATCCTATTGCCTCATTAGCACTCCCTACTCCTGGATCCTCAGAAAGCAGAAGGGAAGATGTACATACCGGACTAGGATAATCACACCGATTAATAAACACCGTCCCGGCCTCAATCTCCGCAATCAACTCCTCTCCGCGCGCGATATCCCTTGTCCACACGCTCGCAGTCAGCCCGTACTCGCTGTCGTTTATGAGCGCGACGGCCTCCTCGTCGCTGGAGACCTTCATGATGGGGAGCACGGGGCCGAAGGTCTCGTCTTTCATGACCGTCATGTCGTGCGTCACGTTTGTGAGGACCGTGGGGGCGATGTAGTTCCCCTCGGGTTTCTGAGAGGGGACGGAAAGGAATGATTCATTGGGGGGAGTTGCGTTGATGGCCCCCTTGGAGAGCGCGTCGTCGATGTGCGACTGGATGGTTTTCACTGCGTGGCGGGAGATGACGGGGCCGGTGGTTGTGGTGGTATCGGTTGGATCGCCGAGTTTGTACCTATTATTGCGGTGCTGGTGTTAGGGCTACTGTTTACCGTTTCTCTGTGAAGAAATAGAGGGACAATGAAATGAGGGCGAGGCTTACGTCTTGAGCTCCTTCTGCACCTCTGCGACAAAGACATCGTGGACGTCCGCGTGGACATACACCCGTTCAATGGAGCAGCAGCTCTGCCCCGAGTTGAAGACCGCGCCGTCGACGATCTGCGCCGCGACGTAGGGGATGTCTGCGTCGGCGCGGACGTACGCCGGGTCCTTGCCGCCTAGTTCTAGGTTCACTGGGACAATGCGGCGGGCGGTTGCTTCGCGGATGCGGACGCCGCCTGCTGTGGAGCCGGTGAACGAGACGAGTTTGATTTGGGGGAGCTTGACGATCTCGTCGAGGACGTCCAGGGAGCCAACGTGGATGAGTTGGAGGACGTTGGGTGGGAGGCCGGCTTGGGTGAAGTATGTGAGGAGGCGTTGGCCGATGAGGGGGGTTTGCGGGGAGGGACGGAGGATGACTGTGTTTCCGGCCAGGAGGGCTGGGACGAGCGTGTTGATCGTAATGAGGTAGGGGTACTGTGCCTGTTAGATATGCGAAAGTGAGGCGATGTTCGAACGGAACGTACATTCCACGCTGTCGCGATCAATGTCGGTCCAACTGGTTCCTTCTTCACGCTGCGTCTGAATCCCTCCTCTGGTTGTCCTGGGTGCTCCCGCAGGCTATCCTCCACAATTGACAAGAGGTAATCGGCGCGTTTGCGCATGGTCTCGATCTCTTTTGCGCTGTAGGCAATCGGACGGCCCATTTGCGTAGTGAGCTCATTGCTCAGGGTGTCGATGTTCGCCGCGATCAAGTCGAGGGCTTTGACGATGATACCTTTGCGCTCAGTGAGAGTAATCTTCTTGTATGATTTGAATGCTTCATAAGAGGCTTGTGCGATTTTGCGGGCTTCTTCCACAGAGGTTCCCTGGTGTTCGAAGATGACCTCGTTGGTAGAGGGAGACAAGGTGCGAATCTGGTTGGCCATTTTGGTTGGATTGAATCTGTGATGATGGATTGTATCACAATTGATTTGACTCTTCACTTCTTATGCGGGCTGTCCTGTTGATAAAAGTGGTTATTGCTCTCGTATACTTCGGTATTGTCAGCGCGGTCTTGAGCCATGTGGGGGAATATCGGAGAGCGCGGTAAAGGTGTGGGGATATTGTTTACTCTTCTTGCCTACTGTGATGCTGTGGATAATGTGGATCAATTACGAGATTGCATTCATGTAAGCCCAGACACCTTTGCATATCCAATCTCTGCTATACATGATTGACTACCGGATCATCAAGAAGGAACTTGCAAATCGCCTCCCCGACAACTGATCCATCATGCGGTTTTCCGGCTCGCGATAAACCGTCCTTGGACAGCTGGTCATCCAAGACCCCCATGGCATGCCGTGTCTCAATCAGCTTGCTGACCACAAACTCATCGTACTCCGGATGGCCTTGGACACTAAAAATCCTTCTGGCGCTGTAGAGACCTTGTATCTCGCAGATGGCGCTCGACCCTAAGTTAACACAACCCTCTGGTACCTCGTATGCGATATCACGATGCATCTGGTGGAGTGACTATGCCAGAGCAGTCAGCGAGGATTTCATAGGTAAAGTATTTAACTTACCAGAACATTCTTTGAGAATAGGACCCTCCCAGTATCAGTCAGTATAATCGGCTCAACAGCAATCTCCCATCCTCTGTCGCTGCGGCCCACGCGGGCTCCTAGCGCACGCGCAATTATCTGATGACCGAAGCATATCCCAATGATAGGCTTCTTGTATTTCTCGTATACCTCTCGGATATAGCTTGTCAATTTGATGATCCACAGCTCGTCTGCAAAGGCATCATGTTCTGCAATCACGTTAGCTGTTGTGGAAGGATCTGCCAGGGAAACCGTACTGCTTCCAGTCAAGAGTATCGCATCACAGTCATCGGGTTTTGGATAGACAGAACCGTCCACCACATCCCATTTGGTGATTTGCAAGTCCACCTGCGAGTCAAGTCCCTGCGCTTTCAGACCTGCTTTGAGGAGGTTCTCAAAAAGATCTCCATACGTCCCGTAGCGGTCCTTGACGGGCTGAATGGGGGTGTCACACTCGAGGATTGCTGCACGAAGAAGGCGCGTCATGAGGGATAATGAAATTAATGATTCTGGAGATAGTAGATGATTCTTCCTGAGCTGCCATCATGAGAGATGATACCTTATCTAGTTGGTAATAATAGTATGCAGCTGGAATGTTTATTCCCCAACCCTTATCGATAAGCGCGGTCTTCCTTATCGTCTTTCCCCTCACTCCTCACCAGCGCGGTCCCCTATAATTGTTGCCCCGCGGTTACTATCGAGCTCCCTCAATAGTCGCAGAGATGATTATCTTGCTTGAACTGCGACATCGCGGGTAAATTCATTGGCCAATGGCTACTTCCAGCGAAGCTGCGGCCCATGATGCTGGTGCAGTCCGGCATGTCCAGCATGTCCAGCAAGCTCCACAATAGCATCGATGTCGGTCAACTTTTAAGAAGCTCTTGGAGACTCTTTCCTCGTCTCAATAACATCTTCTCTGATTTCTGGGTTAATCCTATCTAAACATGTCACAAGATACAATCACAGTAGAGGATCTCCCTGGTCTTCTTGAATACGACATCAGCGTCAAAGTCGCTGGCATTGACTGCGATGGCATCCTACGCGGCAAGGTGATGGCCAAGGAAAAGTTCCTCGGCATCGCGCAGAAGGGCTTTGGCTTCAGCTCCGCAGTGTTTGGATGGGATATGCAGGACGTGCTCTACACTACAGATGCAAAGGTCGCACCTCCAGAATCGGGATATGTCGATTTCATCGCTGTGCCAGATCTCAGCTCATACCGACGGATACCGTGGGAAGACAACATCCCTTTCTTCTTGGTGCGATTTGTTCAGAACGAGAAACCAGTCACTGCAGACGGTCGGAGCATGTTGAGATCGATAACACACAAGCTAGCGGAGGCGAATTGCCAGGCCATGGCTGGAGGTAATTTTCCTGGTCTCGGGCCGAGTATGTCAGCTAATGTGTGTAGTTGAACTCGAATTTATGAACTTCCAAACTCCTTCACAGGACGGATACTCCAATGGCTCGCAGACCCGCGATATCGCTGCCTTTCTAGAAAGAAATGCACCCAGCGCCCTTCGCCCCATGACCGCCGGCAGTTTCTCATACAGCGCGACACGACCGGTAGCCTTCAAGAAGTACTTTTGGGATATCTTCAACACCAGTGCGCGGTTCAACTGTGGGATTGAGGGATGGCATACAGAGGGAGGGCCGGGTGTCTACGAAGCGGTTAGTAAACTACATTTCTATGACAAGAGCCTTGCTAATAGTACAGGCCCTCAAAGTGTGTAATGTTGCCGAAATGGCAGACCGGGTGTCCCTATTCAAGTAAGTCACTGTCGGCGCCATTCGCCGCTCAAACAGCATTTTGCTAACTTGTCAGACTTCTGGCGAAATCCATCGGGATCGAACACGGAATCACTCCCTGCTTCATGGCAAAGCCTATGTACGGCCAACCTGGCAGCTCCGGTCACATTCACATCTCCCTTTGCGATCTTGAGGGGAAGAACCTCTTCGCCAGAGACACACCTGACCCCAACGCCCCTTGGTCTGATGCAGCCGGCCTGTCAGATATGGGCCGACAATTTCTCGCCGGCCTCCTCGAGGCTTTGCCGGATATCATGCCCCTGTTCGCACCCACTATCAATTCCTACAAGCGCCTGGTGGAGAACTACTGGGCCCCTGTGAATATCAGCTGGGGTCTGGAAGACCGAATGGCGTCGATCCGCATTATCACGCCGCCGGTGTGTAAGCCCGGCGCCACGCGGATGGAAGTGCGTATTCCCGGCGCTGATTTGCATCCTCACTATGCGCTCAGTGTGATACTCGCTGCTGGATGGCGGGGTATCGAGAAGAAGCTTGATATCAAGGTACCGCCTATGTCGGCGTTGAAGCAAGGTGATCGGCCGGAGCTGCTGCCGAACACGCTGGAAGAAGCCATCAAGAGATTCAGTGCGCCTGAGAGTATTGCGCGGGAGATCCTGGACGGGGGATTTGTCGATTTCTTTACTGCCACACGAGAGCATGAGCTCAAAGTGTGGAGGGAGGCTGTAACTGATTGGTAAGTTGTCACTTGTCAACCTTGAGTTTCTGATGGTAACTAATACTTTATGCGTAGGGAATTCAAGAGGTATATTGAGACTGTATAGAATGTAGCGTTCATTAATTGTACCATGAAGTTATCCATGAATGACAGACATTCCCAAGTATTTTCTTTAATCTCACAAGTCTCTTTTGAGTTTATAAGCTAGAAAACATATGGCTGCTACACTCTAGTTACCACTCACTTATCCCTTGCCAGTTGACCGTAAATGTAACCTTATCGCCCAATGCGGGGAACCATTGATAAACCCCGCACCGCCAGTTGACCGAGTCAACAATTTTCTCTTTTGCAATCATTCTTCGAAGACAAGAAAGAGACTAAAACTCACCTCCCAACATTACATCCAAGTAATCACCCATTATCTACGCAATGGACTTCTCCCTCGAAAACCACAAATCCTTCATCGGCCTTCCGGCAACAGACCTGCCCACCCCGGCATTGGTGCTCAGCAAACCCATCCTGGAACGAAATATCAAACAGCTTCTCCAGGACGTCAAAGACCTGGGGATCTCCTTCCGGCCGCACGTTAAGACGCTCAAGGTACTGACCTCCAGTCTATCCTACCACGTAACAATAACAAACCTAGCTAACCCCGTCAGTCCATCGAAGTAACCCGTATGATGCTCGACAACGGCACACACCGGAGAATCGTCGCCTCAACCCTCTGCGAGATCAGAGGTGCCCTCCCCCTCGCAGAAGAGGGCATCCTCGACGAAGTGAGCCCACCCGTGCTCCCCCAACAACAAACACTAACCACCAATGCGAGGGAAAAAGGCTCTCTACGGCCTCCCCATCTACCCCAGCGCGCTCCCCCAGCTCGCAGCCCTCTCATCAAAGCTTAAAATCGTCCTGATGGTCGACAATGAAGCCCAGATCGACGCCCTTGAATCATTCGCCCAGTCTACGGGGCGTACAGCCCCCTGGCCTGTCTTCATTAAGGTCGATGTAGGCTCGCACCGCGCCGGGCTGGAGAGTTCCTCGTCTGCAATGCGGTTGCTCGTGGGGAAGGTGGAGAGCTCGCATGCGGCGGAGGTATACGGGTTCTACTGCCATGCGGGGCATTCGTATGCGTGCCGGACGGAGGAGGCAGCGGCGGCGGTGCTGAAGAGTGAAGTGGAGGGTGCGGTTCGTGCGGCGGGGTATTTAGATAGGAAGGAGGGGAGGAAAGTGGTGGTGTCGTTTGGGTCGACGCCAACGGCGCATGTGGTGAATTCGCTTCGGAGGGCGTTGCCAGAGGGAATGGAGGTGGAGTTACATGCCGGTATGTTTGTTTGTTTGTCTTTGAGTTGTTGTTCAGAGACGGGTTAGATGCGATGCTGGTGCTGATGCTGAGTGCGTAGGAAACTTCCCCGCCAACGACCTGCAGCAAGTCTGTACCGGCCTCGTGGCCGAAGAGCAGCAGGCGGTCCGTGTCCTGGCGGAGGTGTGCAGCGTGTATCCTGAGCGTAACGAGGCGCTTATCAACGCGGGGACGGTTGCGTTGACCAAGGAGACGAGCGACGTGGTGGGTTTTGGGCGGGTGGCTGACCGGCCTGGGTGGGCGGTTGTGAGGATGGCGCAGGAGCATGGGATTTTGGGGCTGACGGATGCGTCCGGGGTTCAGAGGGTCGAGGAGATGTTTCGTGTGGGCCAGAAGGTGATGCTGTATATCCAGCATGCTTGTATTACTGCTGCGCAGCATCATGTGTATTATGTTGTTGACGAAAGGGATGTGGTTAGGGAGACCTGGGTGCCGTGGAAAGGGTGGTAGTTACGAGTAGGACTTGGTGAAAATTCCAGGTAAGATGATCATTATCATGGATATATAACACAAATCACAAAAGCCAGAGAAATAAGCAAGATCCCGGAGAAGTCATACATGAAGGAGTGGTACTTCGAACGCATAGCAATCTGTTCATGGTCATGGTCATAGTCATAGTCATAGTCATATCCATCACGAAGGTCGAACTCATTAGTCGTCATTGTCTCCATCATCATCCTCCACGGATACTGCCTTTTTCCCATTGCTCCCATTCGCAACCCCGTTCCCATTCCGCTCCGTCTCCGTCTCCTCCTCCTCACCATCAGCCCCATCCTCTTCCTCTGGTTGCGACTGCCGCTGTACACTTTTCCCTTTAACATTCGCCGGTTTCACAGAGTCCCCCGCCTCGCTCCTCAATTCTGCACCAGACTCCTCCACGAGCTCGTTCTTTCCATGCCGGCCCTTGTGCTTTGCATGCGCCGCACGGATCAGCCGATTATGGTAGTGTCGCTGCTCTGACTCCGGGTCCTCGGTCAGAATCCTCCGTGCGGCCTCCTTTCCGACAACCGGCAGCCGGTCGACGCCCTCAACTCCCTGCGGCACGAGCTTAGGGTCCAGCAGTCCAATCTGGACGAGGACGCTGGCTTGGTCCCAGTAGACATGTTCCGAGTACAGCTTTCCAGTGCGCAGACTCACGATGCTGACAAGAATTACTTCGACTTTCTTGTTGGTTGGTGGAACACCAGGAAGCATCCAGGGGATCTCTTGGGTGTGTTCGAATGAAGCGTAGAGCTCGTCTACGACGCGGTCAACGCCGATGGTCCGTGAGAGAAGACGCAACCGCATCGATGGCGGCAGGTTGCGGAGGAAGTGGTGTTCGTAGAACCGACGCAGATCGCGTGCTCCAATGCCTCCGCTCATGGTCGGCGCGTAAGTGACGTTTGGGGTGAGATGGTCGACATACTGCTCCATTACGTTGTTAAGATTCATAGAGAAGAACCGCGCTGTTGACGTTAGCAATCAGGCCCTTTGAAGGTTGCATTGAACACATGGCGACATACCCTCCAGATGATCCTCCCACCCCTTCTCAAGGTCTGTCTTGTCTGTAACTGTTGACCGTATCACCTGCAACGAGCGTGAAAAGGCCAACTCGGCCGCCAGCCGATCGTACTCTTCCAGGTCGTGCTCTGCAAACCCCGGCTGCACGTTATCATAAGTGTAGGCTTGGTGTCCGATGTTCAGACGCTCCCCTGTTCCAATGCCCTGGTTGATCCGCCTCGTGGTTCGTCGCTTCTTCCCTTGCAAGCCTAATGCCGTGGGCACTGTCGTTACGTCTACGGTTTCGCCAGCAAGATGTGTCAAGAAACGGACGGAGGGAGGGAACGACGAGCGCGGATCGGGAATGTTGGTTGGATAGTAACATATCAGAGCGCTGAGACGGCTGGCGTTTGTGGGTTTGAGATAGAAATCCAGGCAGAAGGAGGCAGCATCACCGAATGCTATTGTCAGTTAGCTTTATACCCTCCAGTGTACGTGTACTCGGATACGGAAGCCACCCACCGATAACAGCATAGTTGACCCCGACGCCCAATCCCTCCTTGACGGACTTCAATTGACTGGTATATTCCTTCCCTCCATTATTATACGGAAGGTACATCACCTCAAAACCCTCATCCTGCCATTGACGAATGAACGCAGTGTCAAAGTCTGGGGTTTCGGCCGTGATGCAGACCCGAGTCTTTGCTAAGCTGGAGTTGTAGAGAAATCCTCCGCTTGCACCACCGGCATTGATAGAGAGGAGGGCCATGATCCTCGGGTGTTGTGCTGAATGTTTGCTCAAAGTCCTGGTTGTTCTATACGTTGTTGTATATATAAGGGGCGAGCCCACGTGGAAGAAACGGATGACAATGAGATTATGGAAGAATGTCCAAAATACTGAATCAGTGGTTCCAAGAGGGTTATCTATCAGACTATTTGCTTCCGTGGACTGCGTTGCTCTACTTCCTACGTCATCCCCCATGAAGCGAGTCAAGCGACTCTCCCGCAGCCACTACGTCATTGTATCTCTTCACCAACATCATCCGATTACTGCTTCACCTCGATAGGCTCAACCAGTTGGCAACAGTATTAAATGCAGAGACAGTTGTCATTCAGACCAATCGAGAAGGTCGACATTTCGGTGCATGGCTTTTGTTGTTCACAACTGAATCAAGAGAAGGGCTATTTTGATGTGACGGAAGCTCAACAGATCCAGCAACAAGATTGACGATACCAACGACACTAATACAAAGTAAAAAGACAGTCATACCCCACATGCCGATGGACCCAAAGGTGTCTGACAGTGGCGAAAGCCTGTCATGTACGGAAATAGAGCGGTAGAGGAACAAGTAATCTTTTACTATTCTATCCATGGATGTCACTCGCCTCGGGGAGGTGCCTCAGGCTTCCATATCCTCCGCTCCTAGTTCCTCTTTTGTTATTGCTGGCAAGCACATATATCCCAGGCAATCAGATCGGGATTTGATCCTCCTTGATGTGTCAAATGATGCAGTGGTGCGTTTGGTAATGTAGATGAATCTGGTTTTCAGCAACACCTTGGAGTAAACGGATACACCGGTTCGTCTCGAGAATATATTTCTATTCCCTATCAGTCCATCACTGTTTGGAAACGCGTTCATTATACTGCACAAATATCAAGGAATGCAAAACCAGTAAACTCAATATTCAAAGCGCTAAACTCCGTACGCCTTTGTCCCTAAAAATAGTCCTCATGTTTGTGTACAGGCTACAGATAATCGCGCCTTGGCGTAAACGCACTCACTTCGACTAGGATGTGAGTTGATATCTTCAGCTCCAGCGTAAGCAGGTCCACATATTATCATCCTCCATTACACTGGCTTCAGTCGACATCTCCTTACTATCCGACCAACCTAGTATCCACTCACTCTACAATGGATACAGACAAGGCAAGATATAACCTCCCCGCCTAAACCCTGGATCTACGCGAGATGCTGACAGCTACCGTCCCAGGATCTCCCTCCTCCCCCCTACAACAATGAAACTCCCTTGAATATGGAACCAGAACCCAGCGCGCCAAAATATACTCCATACTCAGATACTCCTCATACGAGCATCACCGTTCCGCCCACATTTCAGCGTTTAGAGCTGGATCCCCGCGACACGATCTACCCTTCCTCTCCCTCGCCGGCTCTGGCGAAGAGAGTCAGGCGCTGCTGTTGTGGCATTCTTATTGGATTTGTGGTGGCGACGGTGCTTTTTCATGTGTGGCTTTATTTGGCGTTTCAGAGCTGGCGGTTTTGATATCTGTGCTGGAGCATGTCGGGATGTTGTGTATATATGAATATGGTATGTTTTGGTTAGGACTCCAAGTTGTTGATGAAAGAAGTCCGGACCGCCGACCGTTCCGTATCAATGACATGTCCTTTGCATTATCACTTCCCACAGCAGGAACTGGTCAGCATCTTTGAAAAAGTTCGCATCATGTGCGGGACTGTCAATGATGGCTTGTAGGTATGCGTCGAGTTCTCCAGGTTTGATGCTTCGCTCAGTCTATACTGTACTTGGTCGCACATCGATAAGGAAACTAGCAGTGGAGAAGTTCAGCAATTCGGCTGGTCGGGAAATCGCAGAATATCCTTCCCGATTCTTTAGCCAAAATAAGGGATTGATCAAGAAAAAATTGCAATTTTTATTGTAGTGACGATCTGGAGATATTTCACTCATCCCTACGATAGATATTTGACAGATGCTGATAATTCGTTAGATCGCTGGATGATCGATTAGATCCTCACATTGACCATGGTTGAATGGGTCCTTGTTGATAGTGCGATGACGGCAATTGGTCCAGTTCTATAGCTGCTTGTGAGCCAAGCTCAAGCTCCAATAGGTGAAACCATCATGGATTGTAACTGAACGGAAATAGTTATCCTCAATACCAGAGGTAAGTATCTAAATTTAAGCTGAAGGAAGACAAGCTGTCAATGTTTAACGTCATAAGCCCCATAAAAAATTTCTTTCTGTGGAGTCGCTGCGAGCAGGGAACATGGCTCGCTCCAGAAGCTTCGACTGGCGGGAATAAGTCACCTTCGCGCCCCTCATAGTTTGCAACCATCACCGCGCTCTCAATTATCAACCCGCGGTCGCAATCAGAGGTATTTAGTTTCAAGAGAGCATCACGCTCATCTCGTGTCGATTTTACTGACATTGACCAGGCGTCAGAGGCCATGTCTTTGGTGCAGCATGTCTCTGCAATTGACGGCGTGGACCGCGAGATAGAACCGGACCTTCGTGACGATGAGACCATCACTACCTACCATGACGAATCCTTGGTGCCGATCCGGCGCAAAATTAGCTACGATGTTCTTCATGAGCGCCAACAACCGGTGATAGATGACAAGTCGGGCACTCCGGCGTACGAGGTCTCGACTGCGATTAGACTTGGTATGCAGATCCGTCATTATTTTTGCTTTTTCCCTTTCGTCGATTGAGAATGGACCCTGATCTAGCTTAGTCCAGGTAACCATCACGATTCTCGCTTGTTGGTTCGCGTCTGGAATTGTGTTCGGCTTCGCTGCTTTGAAGCCTGTCCTGATCGACCAAGGCGTCTATCGCGACCTTTGCACGAAAGAGGAGTTGCGTGATGGTGTAGAAGTTTGTTTTGAGCAAGATCTTCGGTAAGTCCTTTTTATTAGATTAGATATTTTTTCTTCCCTGGCTGAACCCTAATCATTCAGGCTGAATTTGTTCTTCACGATTGGCTCCATCACCGCCAATGTATCTGCTCTACCGGTCGGGACCATCCTCGACCGATATGGTTCGCGCCTCTGTGGCTTCATTGGGTCTGCCCTGCTTGTCGCTGGTAGCGTGTTGATGTCGCTTTCGTTTTCGCAACCGGATTTCGATGGGTACATCATTGCCAACTTCTTCTTAGCTCTTGGAGGGACATTCATTTTTGTGCCCTCGTTCCAGATCGCGAATGCGTTCCCCAA